CTGGTGTCTCACACTGTCCGAGCCCGACCCCGACCTGCCCCTCACACCCGGAGCCTGTCGCGAGCCGCTCCCGGCCGACCCCTGACACTGCCCCGACTTGACGCCGGGACCTGCCCTCCTCGGATGCGGAAGCCCCCGGGACTGCACCCTCACGCTTGGGTCCTCCCCCCAGCACCCGGCGGCCCTCCGGCGGCCCCCCGCGGCCCTCAGGCGTTGAACAACTCTCCACGTTTCTCCTGACGGGACCCGCCCCGTGGCAGGTTTCCCCAGACCTGAGACGTGCCTCCTGTCCCTCCTCTCCTCGGACCCCGGGGCCCACCTCCGCCTCCCGGGGTCTCCTTCCTGGGAGAGCTCATCAGCCTCTTCAGACCTGGGGGCACCGCCCCCCCTTAGTCCCCGAGCCTGAGGCGACTGATTCCTGGCCCTTGACCCCCACCCCAAACCAGGGGCGCTGCTGGGCGGGCCTCCCACAGCCCACCAGGGTCTTGCCTCCCGCCCCCCTTCCCCCTCACTGCCCCAGCCTCTCTCTGGTCTCCATACCCAGCTCCTCACAGCTGCCCCACCCCAGGCCTCTTGCCCCAGGCATCTCCTACTCTGAGCCCTGTTCTCTGGCCACTTGCCCTGGCCTCTCTACCCAGGCTTTCCCACCTCGTCCCTCCACCTTCCTCCTTTCTGGCTCCAGGGGACCCTCTTTGCGGCTTCTTAACTTCTGTCTGCACAGCCAAGGCTTCCTCCCAGTGCCTGATAGCCCTGTGCTGGGAAACCTAACCAACCCACGTGGACATTTCCTCCCCTTGCCATTCCACCTCCCCACCCCCCATCTGACCTGGATTTGTGAGTACCTCCTGTCAGCCCCTGATAGCTTTTCAGCTACAGCTTGGCCTGCCCTGGCCCCTTCCTACCTCTCACCCCTCTCACGCAAATGGGAGTACACTTGACATTTTTTCCCAGCCGGAGGAGATGGTCAGTGGCTGACACTCCCTTTGCTCTCTCTTCCCTCACAGTGTCCCTCCTGTAGCCGCGTTGCTTGCCTCAGGACCCACTTTAGCCCTCACTGTGCCCCTTTGTCCTTAACCTGGCACCCCACCTCCTAAGCTGTTTCCAGAAGCCCCTCCAAACGTCTGTATCCTTGAAAGGCTTGCAGAAGCTTTGAGGTCCTAATGTGCTGCCTCACTGCAGCCACCTCTGAGGACAGATGTAGAATGTCCTGGCCATATACTCGCCCTTTGCCCTTTTAAATTTTAAATCTTAAACAGCCTCTCTTCTGAGCAAATAGGTCTCCCACCCAAAAGACGATGGGAGTATGTTTTCTTTCTGCTAGCTGTAAGAGCATTCATCTGCCTCTTTTCTTAGTTTTGTGGGAATAAATCATTTCCCCCTGTTTTGGATTGGGAAAGCTGCATCTTCATGTTAATCTTTGGGCCATAAACTTAAAATTCTATTATGAACCATGATATTTATTGTAATTTCAGTCTTCATAATTATGTACGTCATGGTGATTGAAATGTAAGAATTTAGTATAAAGGTTTTGCAACTAATCATAAAATTCTGAAAGATCCCTGGTGTGGGTCATTTTTGGAATGATCTTGAATTTGTGTCCATTGTCTAATTTAATAGTTTCTGGTGTGACAGGGTAGCTGAGTGTCAAAGAGAAGTCTGCTTTGGTTACTGCAACAACTACTATTCTGTCATTAGTGTGTTGTTTCTGGGCTTCTGTCAGGTGCCAGTTTCCTTGTGAACCAGTGGAAGTGGCGGCTGAGCTGGGACAGGACTGACAGGTCCCAGGGAGGCCCAGAGCGGGAGTCTGGCTGGTGGCTGGAAGCTGCCGAGTAGGGTGTGTGGTGGTGGGCTTGGTGGGCTCCCGGGGCTGCTGCCTTGCGTCTAGGGGTGAGCTGCCTGTCTACCGTGGAGGGTCAGTGGCTCTTGTGTCAGCAGGGCTAGTTCTTAGGTCATGTTCGTGGTTCATCCTCATGCCTGCCTCCTGCATAGCAGCTTTGTTTAGACAGAACGCACGTGCCAGGAGTCACCTGCTGAAGGTGCACAATTCAGTAGTCGCTAGGACGTTCACAGAGCTGTATACCATCACCGCAGTCTACCCCTCATCACCTTGAAGAGAAACCTCAAACCCCTCCAACCCTAGGCAACCACTAGCTTTTTTTCTAAGATTTGCTTGTTCTGAACATTTCATGTAAATGGAATTATACAGTATGTGACCTTCTGTGTCTAGCTTTTTCCACGGAGCGTAATGTTTTCAGGATTCACCCATATCATGGCATGTGTCTGCTTCATTCCTTTTTATTGTTGCATAGTAGTCCATTGTATGGGTGTGCGGCATTTTGTTTATCCATTAACCAGCTGAGGGACATTTGGGTTGTTTCTACTTTTTGGCTGTTGTGAATAATGCTGCTGTCTTCACAGCATGTACAAGTTTTTTGTGGACATACGTTTTCATTTCTCTTGGAACTCTATGTTTAACATTTTAAGAAACTGCCAGACTGATTTCCAGTGTCTACACCATTTTACATTCCCACCAGCAGTGTGTGAGGGTTGTGGGTGTCCACATCCTCACCAGCACTTGCTATTGTCTATCTTTTTTATTGCAGCCAACCTAGTGGGTGTGAAGTGGTATCTCATTGTGGTTTTGATTTGCATTTTCCTGATGACTGATGATGTTGCACATCTCTTCTGTGCTCGTCGAAGTACTATTTCTTTTTGAGATTCTTACTGGGCCTTTTGTTGTTGTTGTTTATCACTGTGACTATTCTGTTTCTCTTCTGCCATATAAGAAGCCAAAGTAAAGTGAGGGCCAGGGTCAGTGTAAAAGGAATATTGAAAAGAGCAGCTGTTGCATACAGCTGTGCTGTGAGGTCTTCCTGCTGAACATTCGCCTTGCTCGTCTCATTGAGATGCTGGCCTGTCGTTTGGTTAAAGCTCTCTACACTGTGGTGCATTCGAGTTCACCAACCGTCATCAAGATCAATTTGGGCAAAATGGGAGAGACACATGGTTGAATGGAAGCCAAATTGAAATTCTGATTCTTGTGATAATCCAAGCAAAATGTTAGCCAATTTACAGTTCAAGTTTTAATCTTATTAGCAACTATCTTTGCCACCTGATACCCTTCCAGTGGCTGTGAAATCCCAAACTGTATTGAATTCAGTGAGAACTGCATACATAAAACTCAAGACCTTGGGTTAGAGCTGTGTACCCTTTAATAAAAGTTCTTTGCTGAACCATGTTAGTACGGATCAGCTGCTTTAAATAACGTCCAGTGCCAGGGTCAGCAGATGGGGATATTTAAAATGCTTTGGCACTTTTCACATGGAATACTTTTGTCACCAGCACCAAACTGAGAGCACTTTAGCTTCATTGAAGCCCATTTGCTTCAGTGCTGACCTCATCTGGCTGAGTGAGCTCATTACAGTTTTTAAGGATTGCCTTTGTAATTGGAAGTAGTTGAGTCTCCAAATCTGATAAATCCCACAAAACTTTTCTAGTGTCTTAAAATGATACCTCACTTCACATTAAAATATCAGTGTGTTACAGCACCATTGTACTTTTTTTGCTTTAATTCCAGGGGTTCACTTTGTAAATAAATCCAATTGTCATGAAATCTGAAAATCTGCCTATTGAGGATGAGTCTGCATAGATTGGGGTAAAGTACACTAGTTAGTATGCATCCAGCTGCAAGCACCATTTCAAACTAGCTTAGAGAAAAGGGGACCCGTGATCTCACATTACAAGAAGTTTAGAGGTGGCTTGGTTCCCAATTTGCTCATTCAGGGGCCCATTTCTTTCCATCTTTCTGTGCTGCCATCCTTGGCATTTCCCAGCCTGTTTCTCCTCATGATTTCTAGATGGCTGCCACAGGACTGGGCACTGGTACAGATACTGCCACCACGAGGGGAAGAAAAAGAGGCTCTCCAAAAGCCAGAATCTTTCCCATTAGCACCCAGAAGACTTATACACACATCTAACTGGCCAGAACTGGGTCACTCACCCCTAAATAGACAACTCACAAGGGGATGGGGCCACATGTTTGCCTTGGATCCATCAGGGTTGAGCATGTCTTGCGAAGCCAGGGTTGGTGCCAGGACAAAAGTCTAGGCCCTGCCAGTGTAGAAAAGTAGGAAATTGGTTGTTGGGTGGCTGCTAAACCTCAAAATCTACACCTGTTACTCCTGTTTATTTTAGGCTCCTCTCTTCATCAAGAAATACAAGCATCCATGCATAAAATTAGCAGAGCAGGCATTCACAGTATAGTCTGATTTGTGGTCAGCACTTCGGTTTGTAACAAATTTGTACCACATAAGTCTTTGAAAGATGCCTTCCCTGAATATTCTGCCCATTTCATACATAATACAAGATGGTGCTTAGTGTAAATACAGGAACAGAAATAGGCCAGAAAGACATTAGAAAGCAAATGCAGCCCAGGTTAGGAATGACACGTGTACAGGTAGAAATGGAGGCCTACAGGCTAGTGATGCACAAATCCTGCAGACAAAAGGGAAACTGGTATTGAAGACAGTACAGAAGTGAGGCTGGAGCGAGCTTGCTGGTGCAGAGAGGGACTTCAGTCTCATGATATTCAGCTGAGTGAAATTGAGCTTCACCTGAACAGGCATGTGGATGGAGAAGACTCACAAAGGTGTCAGGCTGGTGGACTCTAGGTGTGTTGGGTGTACACTGACCTCCAGCCTTCCTTATGTTCCTTGGGCTCAAGCATGACCACTGGAAAGTGATTGCAGCTTGTCTCCTGGTGGTTCCTCCATTTGTAACAAGGCTATGTGTCCTTTCTTTCCAGCATGTGGACACGGGGAACTCTTACCTTTGTGGGTACCTGAAGATTAAAGGCCTTACTGAGGTAAGCACGCATTTAAATGAGGTAGAACTAGAACTAAAACGTGGACTGCACTCAGCAGTCTGAGTGTGAAGGGCACGCAGTTTCAGCTGAGGCTTGATTAAAGTTTCCCACTTCTGAGTGTTGTTATTGTCTGGGGAACATAAAGCATGCAGTTTCCATGTGTCTTGTTGGAAGGGATACAGACTGGCAAATCTTTACAGTTTATAAATAAGTCACAATGTGACTAATGCTATTAATTTCATTTTAATCTTTTTTGAGAAAATAATATGTAGTAAGAATATAGCTATCACCCTAAGTTTGAAAATTTCCGAAATAAGCATCAACCCTTTGAGAAGTTCTTTCCACTGGAACAATGAGAAGTGATCATCCATTTCCTAACAGAATTAGCTTCTATATAAATGTGCGCTGCTGTGGGGGTTTTTTTTAACCAACTTTGTAAAGCTTGAAACTCCTGGAAATGTAGGAAGCAAGAAAGAGCATCCTTTCTTTTCCCACTAGTGAGTAAACAGGAAGAGCACGAAGGTAACTGAACTGGCCACCTAACTCCACGGCGAGAGCCTGGGCTTGCCCTGGCTGCAGGGTGCCAGGGACCTGCCTGCTCTCGCCATCTTGGTGGCCCAGGGAGTTTGGAGATGCTGTGCGGAGCTGTGGAAAGAGGCTGGGTGACGTTCCCACTGTGTCCCTTACTGGTTCTATGACCTTGAATTTCCCTTCAGTTTCCTCACGTAGGAAATGAGAATTAAATGCCTGCTCTGTCTACTCCAGGGGCTCATCCTGGTGGGGAGGACACAATGTAACGTAAGGTAGGCTGTTGTGCAGTACAGTGCACAAGGCACTGATGACCCCTCACGCTGGAAACAATTGTTTCTGTCTCCTCCGTTCCATCTGGTTCTCCTACTTCTTAGAAGTTTGGTTGGGCCCGGGCCAGTGTGGCCCAGTAGTTAGAGCCTTGGCCTGTGCACTGGAAGCGTCACGGGTTTGACTCCCGGTCAAGGGCACGTACCTCGGTTGCAGGTTCACACCTCACCCCTGGTTGGGGTCTGTCACATCCCTGTTTCTCTCCCTCCCTCCCTCCCTTCAGCTCTCGAAAAATCAATGGAAAAAAATATCCTCAGGTGAGGATTAACAAAAAAAACAAAAAAAGAAAACAAAACAAAAAAAAGAAAGAAAAGAAAAAAGAACTGTGGCTGAGAATTTTCTGTGAAGTTTGTTGCTGAGATGAAAAGGTAATCTCTTCATCTCCTCTGGACACGTATCCAGTCCAGTAGGGATAGGAAATGATAGCAAAATGAAGGGTGCTAACCTTTGGATTGTGGTAACATAGTAAACAGAGTATGTTCAACTCTTAGCCAAATTAATTGACCACAGAACATAAACATTTAACTTCATAAGGAAACCAGGAACATTTGTAATGTAGAATGTTTATTGCTGACTCTAAAAATCAGTCATTCTAGTCATAGGAAGCTGCATAGAAATGCTATGAACTTTCGCCCGGCCGGGCGTGACTCAGCGGTTGAGCATCGACCTGGGATCCAGGAGATCTGGGTTCGATTCCTGGTCAGGGCACATGCCCGGGTTGCAGGCTCGATCAATGACTCTCTCATCATTGATGTTTCTATCTCTCTCTCTCCCTCTCCTTTCCTCTCTCTGAAATCAATAAAGATATATTTTTTAAAAAAAGAAATGCTATGAACTTCCCAGCAGGAACGAGTAACCCTAGTGAAGGGGTGGGGGCACCTCTGAGGCGTGAGCAGCCAGGCTCTGCTGAGGAGGGGTGCAGGCGTGGCCCTTCCTCGGGGCTAGCCCAGGGCAACCAGGGTTCATGGCCGGAACTCTGAGACCACCGTCCTGGCCAGTCCTTCCCACCTGTACCTGGAGTGGCCTCGTGAGGACAGGCCTCCCCAGCGCATCTGCCCCAGGCATGGTGGGTCCGTGATGGCGCTGAGCTGGCGTTCAGCAGAGGTTTCTAAGTCGTGCTCCACTTCAGGGTCCTGTGAATTCACCTTTTTTAATAAAATTTTGTAGTAACTTTGCTGAGATACTGTTCACATACCATACAGTTTACCCATTTAAAGTGTACTGTTTATTGGCTTTTAGTGTAGGCCTGGTGGTGTGTGATGTCTAAAATCTAATACACATGGTCACTAGGTAATTTGTAAAATGCAGGACAGGTGATGATTCTTAGAATGATTTTATACTTGTATTATAAAATGCAGTTTCCATTTTTGTTTGCTTTTCCATTTATAGCTAGTTTTTGTTTTTGTTTTTGTTTTAATATATTTTTAGTGATTTCATAGAGAGGAAAGGAGAGGGAGAGAGAGATAGAAACGTCAATGATGAGAGAGTCATTGATTGGCTGCCTCCTGCACGCCCCCAACTGGAGATTGAGCCCGCAACCTGGGTATGTGCCCTGACCGGGAATAGAACCCTGATCGCCTGGATCCTAGGTCGATGCTCAATGGCTGAGCCACACCCACCCAGGCTCGCTGTTTAAGACTCAACTATATAGTTTATTTTAATAAAACTATTGAAATGGTTTGGTTTTTAGTTAGAATCTTCCTTGAGTTTACATTATAGAGTTAACTAGTAAATTGGTGATAACTGCCTCTTTGCTACCTCACACGAACAGTACAGCTTTAATGTTTGTATGCCTTCTGGACAGAAGTCCCAGGACTGTGACAAATGGGTGTCAGCTAGCATTCTCTTTGCAAATCTGACTCAGCAGTCGGAAGAGGGATCGTCCTGGGGAGGCTGGGGGGCCCTGACTGGGGCAGCCACTTCAGCACTCACTACTTCACTAGACCAGGCTGGAAGAGTTAGGAAGCTCTCACTGAGGTGGTGCTAAACTTGCTGGGAACAGGGGAGGCAGGTCATACCGACTGCACTCGCAGAGACCGCTGGGACAGAGTGCCAGTTCGCACACTTACAAATCAGGGGCATGCATATTCTGGACTTTCCCTTCATGTTACTGGGGAGCTGCATGTGGATCCCCTGGAAGGCAGGTCTGCATGGAAAGCCAGACCTTCCCCAGGCTGTCTTTGGTGAGCCTGGAATCAGAGAGCAGGGCCAGTGTGGGACTTACATGTCTGGGACAGCCCATCCACCCTAGGGAGCCCACACCTGCCTGGAGGAGGGGGTTGCTAGCTCTGCCGCGACCCCTTTCTTTGGTAGCCTCACCCCTCCTGCTGAGCTCTCTGGCTCTGAGTTGCCTCCGGTTTGGCTTTATTCAGGTACTCGCGTTTCCCCTTCCTGCACTAAGAGGTATTTTGGTAACTTCTGTGCATATGAATTGTAATTCATCAAGTATCTTACTGAATCCTCTGAGTTTGGGGTGACCATGCAGTCACCCTGATACACTGCCTAAAGAGTTTTTAGGGAGAAGTCAGTGCAGAATCATTCATTAGGAAAATGTGATTTCAACCATAAGTATTTTTTTGCATTAGAACAGGGCCAGTTTATCATTTTCTTCTGTCTCCTTTATGGAAGTTTTGAAAAAAAATTAAAGTTTGAAAATCAGAAAATTACAGTATGAGTATGCAAAACGCAGTTTATTCTTTTTTTAAAATGTTTTTATTGATTTTTAGGGGGAAAGGGGGGGAGGGAGAGAGAAACATGAATTGGCTGCCTCCAGTACACACCCCAACCAGGGATCGAACCTGCAACCCAGGCATGTGCCCTGACTGGGAATGGAACCAATGACCTTTCAGTGCACAGGACAACACTCAACCAACTAAGCCACCCAAGCAGGGCTCAGAGTTTATTCTTGTATTATTATTTACTATATAGCTTTAAATTTAAAACCTCAGGTCAGGTGCTAACTTATATAGAACTTTTTTCCTTAGTATTCTTTCCTAAAACAGGTTAAATTTAGTTTATATCTTTAAAAATAGGTTTCCATTTATCCCATTTTATTTCTTCACCCTGTTTATATAAGTATCCGCGTGGAGAACCCAGCAGCATAGTTGGGCGAGGGGTTGTGGTTTGGAAGTTGGCTGCTGAGAGAAGAGAAGGGGGGCTCAGCAGGCTCAGCCAGGCTGCCGCCGTGGCGGTGCTGCCTCCTGCCCTGCCGGCAGCCTCTGGAAGGTCCTGAGCCACGCAGCTGCTCGGGCTGGAAAAAGAGGCAAAGCCATTGGAACAGGTTTATTCTAAACCTGTACAGGTGTTCGCTGCAGGATAAGAGGGTCTCACACGGGGTATGAAGAAGAGGGACCTCTGTGGTCTGGGAAGTGCGGATGGTGACTGTGTCTGCAAGCTGGGCATAGGGGCCGGGGCGGGTGGGCTTCTTGTTTGTTTGTTTTTGTTTTTTTTAATCCTCACCTGAGGATATGTTTTTTATTGCTTTTCAGAGAGAGAGAGAGAGAGACACTGATGGGAGAGAGACACATCAACTGGTTGCCTCCGGGCACAAGCCCGGACCAGGCTGAGGATCGAGCCTGCAACCCAGGTATGTGCCCTTGGCTGAAATCGAACCCGGGATCCTTCAGTCCACGGGCAGATGCTCTAACCACTGAGGCACACCGGCCAGGGCGTGGGCAGGTTTTTTACAAATGCAGAGAAATGGTAGCCTTTTTACTGTGTTAATTTTTCTTCTGTTAATTTGGTGCCTCCTTATTAGCAGATGAACAAATAGCAAATAAAATGTAACAGTATTCTAAACACGCAAGTAGGAATACAGCTTATTTATTTTTCCTAGCAGAACTTTTTTGTGGTTGTGATTTTCCATTGCAGACCTGACTTGCATATGTTTTCCTAGTATAAATCATCTCTGTTTTTATGATGATATAATTAAATGTATCTAGTATATCAAGGTATTCTACCAAAAAGTCCACCCCTAGAAACTTGAAGAATTGGCGTAAAAGGGACAAAGGACTGAACCAGTGTGAGAACCAGTGGGCAAGGTCTTGGCTTGAGGGAGACTTAGCTATGAGGACTCTAATTTTGGAGGCTCTTTGGGTGTTTTCCTTGGAAAGTGCAGTCCACTTAGTTACCATCTTCTTTGTATGGAGTATTCAGAATTGACTTGTGGGAATCATCCAAATTCTTTTTTGAGCAATCAACACATAGCAAGTGAAGTCAAAGAAGGGCTCTCTGCTTCTGGCAAAGCCCTTGGAGTCCAGGAGACCCCTGCTTTCTGCACCTTTGATTTAGGCTCCCCCCACAGCCATCAGCACGCTGCAGCCTGACTGGTTCAGATTGCTGGCTAGCAGTGCGATCACTTTTTGAGAGTATGGGAAAGAAGTTAGAGTGGGGTTGATTTTTCCTCTGTAAAAGGTTAAAACTCCTGGTAAACATCTTGTTTTGATATTTGGGTTTTGACCATAGGAATATCCAACCCTTACGACCTTCTTTGAAGGAGAAATAATCAGCAAAAAACACCCTTTCTTAACTCGGAAGTGGGATGCCGATGAAGACGTGGATCGGAAACATTGGGTGAGTACATCTCTGCTTGCCCTGGGCCTCCAGGAGAGCCACAGAGCCAGCTCTCAGGGTCTTACCACATCCCCTTGTCCTTTCCATTTGCCCTTCCCCTGTCCACGGGTCCTTCCTCATCTGCTGCACTTGGGGAAATCCCATGAAACACAGCAATAGCCTCTGACTTTAGGGGATGTGATGGAGATGCAGTTCCTGGAAAGCTGCCCCTCCCCTTGGCCAACCACAGGAGGCTTCTCCTCACCCCAGCTCCTGATAGACAGGCACAGTCTGAGGCCCAGCAGGTGCTGTGGGGGAAGCCAGCCCCCCCTCACTGTCGCTGTGGGACATGTTCTTGTCCGTCAGTAGTGAGCAGCGTAGAGCTCCTGTCCTCCAGTCTTTTCTTCGGTTGTCACACAAATCCGCTTCTCAGCCTGTTGTAACAACGTCTGGCTTAGCTGACCATGGCAATGATGAATTTTGGTTTAACACTGAGGAAGTCCGTGGCATTCACCCTCTAAGCCAACCAGAAGTGGTTAGTTGTGTCATAATGACTCTAAACCTGTCTCCTGAATCTGGCCCAGCAGTCCTCGCGGAGACTCCGACTCCAGACCCTCATTTGAGGTAACTCCATTTCAGAGGGGCTGCTTTGCTTATTAACATTTTTCTTGAGTTAGGAAAGCAACATCTGTCAGATGCTGAATTTTGATTAAATTTAAATTTAGACTTTAGCTTTTTAAAACATTTTTTGAAAGTTACATGTTTTGACTATTGTAGCAAAGAGACACTAAAAGTCAGATTCATTTCTCGATCACATGAGAGAACGAACAAGATTTAAGTACTCAGAAGGTTGGGGGAGCACTCATGGTGGCCGATGGTGTCAGTGTCACACAGCAGTACTGGAGAGCTCCTTGGTGCCCTCTGGTCCCACCCTGCCCAGTGCTGGCTCTTTTTGCACGGTGGCCACCTTGTGAGATGGCGCCTTCCTCTCCTGGACAGTCCCGTGAAAAAGGTCTTCCTTCTAACAAACCACAGCTTGTCTCCCATTCAACTTTGTTTTCCATCTCAGATTGGTCCTGCAAAAAGCAAGGTCTTTGGGGCCCAAGGAAACCTTAGTTTTAGGCTGACTTCACTGCACATTCAGTACCTGGAAAGCAGCTCTTATTTTCCACTGACTTCCCATTGGAACCCTGGAGAACATCTGGGACTCCAGCCTTTGTTAGGCTAGATTGAAATATTCTGAGTGAAAGAGGGCAGAGAAGGCCCTTGACACTGGCGTGCTAGGCGTGGTGAGCGGAGAAGCTGGGCCTGCGGACTGCCTCTTAGCCTTTCCCATACTTTCCAGCCAGGAGATCGCCCAGATCCCTGCAGAGGACTCTTGGAAGTCTACGCTGTGCCTTTGTTTGACAGGGATTCACAGTGTCTAATATGCTTCACACATGAGACCACTTTTCCATTGTAAACTGGAATCTGAAACGTTGTATTTCACCCTCAGGTTTTCCTGAGTGAACTTTAAGTTGGTGTCACAGTGGGACTATGAAGCCAAGGTTCCACATACGCCTCTACTTAGAATAAGAATGTCTGTGTAACGAGCTCTGACTTAATATCCCTGTATCCTCATTTTTTATTTAAGATGTTTTCTTATAAAATTAATACAGTCTTTTTAAAAATATTTGAAAAAAACAGAAATGCAAAAGGAAAAAAAATCATCTATACTGGCAATACCTAAAGCTAATATAGGTATTAAAGTTTCCCTGAATCTCGTTTGAATATGTATATATTTTTTAAACAAAAATGGGATCATAAGGTATAGTTTTGTAACCTATTTCTAGTCTCTTTTTTTTCTTTTTAAATTTAACCATATACTTCCCGTTTCCAGTTTCTACTTACCCAGCTGGCCCCACGCCCTCTCTCCTCAGCCCAGCAGGCTGGCTCTCATTCTGCCCGCCTCTTTGGTGGCTGCGATGCTCACAGGGACCTTTTCACTGACCCTGGCTGTCTGGTAAAGTGCTCTGTGAACAGGCTTCTGGAGTTGCGTCTGTTTCCACCTGCCGCCCTTCCTCAGGCCGATCCCTGGGCAGGGCTGAGCCCAGATGTCTGCAGAGTCCAGGTCTGCGTTCGGGGAAGGGGTGGCCACAGGCTGTTTCCAGGGCTTGACGTTCGCTGCTCCTGCCTGTGCCACTGCCAGCCACTGTCCTGCCTTCAAGGAGCGCTCACACCTAGGCACGAAGGGTAGCCCTGACACCAGCCTCTCCTATGGACCTATTCTCTTACTCTCTTGTTTGCTTTTAGGGCAAGTTTCTGGCTTTCTATCAGTATGCAAAATCATTTAATTCAGATGACTTTGATTATGAAGAGCTGAAGAATGGGGATTATGTCTTCATGAGGTGGAAGGTAAGCCCCCAGGCGGCTCCCTGACAGTGCCAGCTCCCGCAGTGTATCCCCCATCTGTTCCCCATGTCCAGTGCTTATTACAGTGTTGTCTTCTTGGCAGGGTCTCTACACACTCATGAAAGGCAGGCACAGCTCCAAGGCACACTGGCTTACTGCGGACATCCCTGCCGAATCTCTCTGGTTAAGCTGTTTAGTGTTAGCAGATGAATCCACCCTTGACACTGTTGCTCATTTCTCCCACCCGAGGATCCCTTTGGCCTCCAGGTTGAATCAGCCCTAGTCTTCGGTGGATTCAGGGGAGAGCCCAATGCTCTCTAAATTCAGTCATCCTCTGTCCCTGTCCTCAGCTTTGGCTTAAATGCCATTTCAGTGACTGCTGCCTCACCATGTCCTTGCCCAGGGCTCACTCAGTGTAGTTACAGCTCCTCTGGTTCCCTCCAGCTCAGGAAATGAGGGACCAGGAATGGAATTCAGGTTTTCCACTCACCAGCCCTGAGAACTCCGCCTGGCTGGACTCGGGGGGTTGGCTTTGGGCTGAGAAGTTCTTTGTGCTCCCTGCTTTGGTAGCATGACAGTTGCCCTGTTGTGGCCATAGGACAGCAAAATCACGAAGCAAATTTGTTAAGTCACTTTGTAAACATATACCTGCCTCCAAGCCCTGCTCCCCAGTCTGTAGGAAACAGCTAGCTGTTTTATCCTGAAATCTGCTAGTGTCACTTAGACAAATCATTCAGGGTAGTCATTCCCAGCCTTCACTTTGTGTAGTTAATAATTTTGGGGGATGGGGAATGTTACCATTTCAGGAGAGTTGCCAGGTACTGAGGCTGCCCTGCCAAGCTTGCCACCTGCTGGAAATAAGCCATCTAAATAACATGTTAAAGGAAGTATCTTGTAAGGTTCTAATTTAAAATTTAATTTTAAAAACTACAATTTCAGAGGTTGAAAAGGAAAGAAGAGTGTCTTAAGATCAAAAAAGCACTGATTAAAATTCTTTTGTCTTCAAAGCATTTCTGAGGTGACTCACCTTTGGTCTTTGAGAGACCTCTGCCTCTACTTCTTTGGGCCCTGGGGCCTCTGGCCTTGTCTCCCTGGGAGAGTAGGATGCTGCCTATCAACTCTTGGCTCCAACCAGAGATAACATGCTTGCCTTTCGTAGGTGTCTGATCAAGAATAGGAGAGTTCTGGTTGCTTTTGATGAGGCATAGAGCTTTTTTTTTAATTTATTGATTGATTTTTAGAGAGAGAGAGGAAGGGGAGAGAGAAAGAGAAACATCGATTTGTTGTTCTGCTTACTTCTGCATCATTGGTTGTTTCTTGTATGTGCCCTGACCAGGGACCCAACCTGCAAGCTTGGCTTATTGGGATGACACTCTAACCCACTGAGGTACCCGGCCAGGGCAAGGTATAGAGCTCTTTAAGGGGTATTACAAGGGCTACTGATGACTGAGCTGCCCTCAGAATGATCGCAGGCCAACAGAAGTGACCTGCTGTTCTAGAGGTGATCGGGAGCCTAGCAATGGTTCCTGGAGTGGAGCACAAACCTCCTCCTCCCAGGTCATTCTGTCTGTGCACCCTGAAAGGCAGGCAAGCAGGTAGGCATTGATTCACTTATGAGAAGTGTGGACCATGCACCTTCTCTCAGTTGCTGATCCTGGTGAGCTCAAGTCACAGTTTTCTGCATTAGTGTGTAGGATTCTCGAATGGCCCATGAATGCTGTTCATGGCCAGGGTACAATGCAGAGGCTTTCCGTCACCCAGCACGCGGGGTAGACCATGTGATGGTGGCACCTGAGAGCCACCTCATCATGAAGGAGGAGGCCCCAGAGGTGGTGGTGGGCGCTGTTACTGACCTCCCCATCTGTGTGCAGGAGCAGTTCCTGGTCCCAGACCACACAATCAAAGACATCAGCGGTGCTTCCTTTGCCGGGTTCTACTACATCTGCTTCCAGAAGTCGGCAGCCTCCATAGAGGGCTACTATTACCATAGGAGTTCAGAATGGTAAGGAGCCCGCGGCTGAGCAGGCGCTCGCTGCCCTTGCTGCCTGCTATCCCTTGGCTCACCAAGTCCAAAAGGAAACCTCTCTGCTGGGCTCCGCATGGATTTCATGCTCTGTTTAGATGCTGAGGCCTCTCTCAGTGATCTCGCTGCTTACACTAGGAGCCCATCCCCATCCACAGAGAAGAGCACACGAGGGAGAGCGAGGGCTGGAAACAGAGCTCACTGCTAAAGGCTTCCAGCGGCGCTGAGTTTTCACAGTGTCTATCTCAGTCTTGCTGGTTTTGTATTTATTCCTCCCAAATTTAATCAGTGACTAAAATGTCAGCTCCAGCTGCAGACTGTGAATTTTGCTGTCAGCAGCCTTTTTAATTCTGTGGACATATTCCTGGTCCCAGGAATTTGCAGATCCCTGTGCACTTGGTTTTCGCTTGGTGACCGAGGGGTCATGGGAGTTGACAGTCCTGCCCTGGGTTTGGTTCCAGGTGAAGGACCCAATGCCACTGCAAGCACTCGTTTTGTCACCTTTTTGAGGACTCTCCTGTCTCCTTGCTGCTTTTTAAGTACCTTATTACACCTGAAGGGTGAACCATATCATAAAATACCCAATTTCTTCTCTGTGGAGACACCTGCTTCCTTTCAGAGTTTTCACACTTTGGTGACTTGTGAGTGACTCTACCCTGGGCTGAGTCAAATTTCTTGTTCAGGGCCTGTGGGCTCAGGGCAGCCCCAGCTCCTCTGAGATGCCAAATTAGCAGGGTTTCAGTAAATTATTTTCAGAGGAGTTTTTAAAACTTTTCATTCTTTTTTAGCTGACAGCTTTATCGATATAAATCATAAAGCGTGCAATTCCGTGGTCTTTAGTATAGTATCAGTTGTGCCACCGTCACCACAACAGTTTTAGAGCATTTTATCACCACAGGAAGAAACCCTGCACTCCCTCAGCTGTCACCCCCAACTTCCCACCCCAGTCCAACCCAAGGCAGCCACTGGCCTTCTTTCTATTTGCATAGATTTGCCTACCCCTGATATCTCATATAAAGGGAACCAGTCACCAGGTGGCCTTTGTGTCTAGCTTCTCTCACTCAGCACATGAGGGAAGGGTCTAGCCACTCAGTAGCACATGTAGTGCTTCATGTTCATTGCCGAGTAGTTTTCCACTCTGAGGCCGTAGGCCACATACGTGTGTCCATCCATCACTGCGTGGACACCAGACTTGTTGTACCTTTGACTGTTGTGAATATTCTGCTCTGAACATGGTTGTACAAGTGTTTGTCTGAGTTCTTGCTTTCAATTCCTTTGGGCATAAACTTAGGAGTAGAATTGCTGGGTCCTATGGTGACTGTATGTTTAACTTTCTGAGGAACCACCAAAAAGCAGCTATGCCAGTTTCCACAGCAGCTATACCATTTTGCGTTTCCCACCAGCAACACATGAGGGCGACAGTTTTTCTACTCTCTCCACATCCTCGGTAACACTTGTCATGACATCTTCACGATCATAGTGCCCTCATGGGTTTGAAGTGGCACCTTGTGGCTTTGACTTGTATATTCTGGTAGCCAATGCATAAGCCTTTCTTGGTGATTTTTTGGGTAAGAAAGAAATTGCTTTTTGCTATGATCCTCCTCGCTCCTGTGTGAAACAAGCCAGGGGAGAGCTAGCTCCCACACCAGCGCCTCTCGCTGCCACTGAGGGCCATCACCCCGGTGTGCACTGTCCTGCCTCTGCTTCTCCTTCACCTGCTGGACTCCTGGGAGCACCTGCCACAGGGAAACACAGACACCACCTCAGAGTTCTCTCTGTTCTCAAAGTCCGGCAGCCCTTCCTGGGGGAGTGAGAAATGAAGATAAGTGGTACAGTCAGGGTTAGCTGTAAGGGGTCTCTCCCATGCTCTCTGGACTCCGGAGAACTGGGGTGTTTTCATGGAGCTCTGAGCAGTGCTGCCTCGCAGTCCAAGAAGGGCTGAGACGCTGGGCATCAGACAGGGCAGGACTTCCACTCTCATTTTATAAGACACACTAGGATTGCTTCATGATTGGAGCAGGAGGCCAAAAGACAGCTTATTTGATGCATAACTCGGGGGATCAACCAAAGAAATAGAGATAAAACCAAAGGTTTCACATGAAGAACATGAACTTGTATCCATGTAAGTGTGTGGGTTGTTGGGGGCTCTGGTTGGGTTTTTTAGAACATCCTCCGTTCAGTGTCCAGGATGCCGAGACGACTGCCTTCCATTTCTGTCTTTCCCCCACTGCAGGTATCAGTCGCTCAATCTAACCCACGTTCCTGAGCACAGCGCACCCATCTATGAATTCCGGTGACAGTGGTTCAGACAGCAACCAAATAAAACTGAACTTGGCAAAAAAGAACTTTGCCAAGAAAATTGTGTGCCTGCCGGAGCCAGGAGAACACGTGTTCCTGTTTCCTCACGAGCAGACGCGCATCAGAAAGCGTGGATGTGGCCCCAAGTCCTGGCGGCCACAGGCAGGGGAGGGCTGTACCCATTCTCCCTCCCTTTCTGTGGCAATTTGCTCTTAGCCCGTTTTCAAGCTACCTTATGTGCACTTTTCCTTCTGCACAGCTGACTTCCGCATCACTGAAATGCCCATCTTCCCTCCGTCCCTGCCCCCGGCCACCCTCAGCCTTGGTGCTCAGTGGTTCCCATCCGAGACCCTCGCCCCTAGTTGCTTAGTCTGGTAGCTCAAGAAAAGGCAGAGCCCCAGCACATGTGTGCCCCCCAGAGCTGCTGTGCAGGGAGTTGGCGAGCTGTAGCAGCATCCGCCAAAGAAACAAGGCGGAGGCTGATTGTTTAACAGTCACTTGGCACTGCCCAGCCCTGTAATGTTCACCAGCTCCAATGGCTGGCAGAGCCTGCCGTCGGGTCAGTAAATGTAAGGCTTCCAGATCCCTGGCGGGAATGGATTCCAGGCTGCTTAGCACATTCGCTCCGAACTTTTGAACTTGAGGGCAATACTAAACTTTTAAAAAAAAGGGTTTTTTATTGCAAAATTATTTTTATGATCCCTTGAACAAGGACCCTATGGCAAATGCACAATTATTCAGAATTACATTTTATCGTTTTCACATTGAAAACAACAAATGTTGACTTAGTAATTTTTATACTTATATCTATATATAAATGTATATTTAATCAACCAGCAGTTTGAAACTGGTCGTCCTGGTACAAAAGTTTTGCAGCATTGCATAAATTATAGTGCTAAATGTGAGAACTGTTTTGGGGGCCAGTTTAGCATTTGTACCTCCTCCTCTTGCTGCTCAGAACAGCAGTGCTTCATGGTGATCTCTTTCATCCCGCAGAAGGGCCGCCATTCTCCTAAAAGAGCGACTGAAATGTTGGGACAGGGGAGGGGCAGGGACATGAACATGCTCAAGTAACTCGAGGCTCACGTGCCAAAGTAAGTGTGTGTGTGTGTGTGTGTGTGTGTGTGTGTGTGTGTGTGTGTGTTTCGTTTTGTTTTTGTTTCGTGTTTTAAAAGCTTAATAGGTTGGCATCAGTTGCGGCCACAGCTATGGGCAGGGCTTTGGGGGGATTGGCATCTTCTGGTGGTTTACTAGATTTACTCAGAGCTCAAGAGGGCAGACTCCACCAAGGGACGGCATTGTAATGGAGCAGAGCTCGCCACCAGCTGCGTATCCTGGGCCGTGTGAGGACACAGCCCTCCGTCTACCTGAGTGCTGGGGCGTCTTATTAAAGAGCGACTTTCCTTTTAATGACATGTGCACTGTTTGTTCCTGAGAGTGAATGTCAGGGGCAGCCCTGAAGGAGAAGTATGTGGGAAAGCAGTCAGTCAGCTGGGACACCTGGGCTGTATAGTCCTAAGGCTTTGTGCAGAGGTGTGACCAACCCATCCAGTCCGGCCAGGGCCGTGGAGCCCTAAAAGGTTGCCTTGGTGACTTCAGTGAAAAAATTATTTACATCTATTCTCAGAGATGAGTCAGAAATGTTTTCTTGATTTTAAAACTCCAGAAACAAATGGATGGGTCTGGTCAAACCCAGCTGAAGGTGCAGTGATGAGGCGAGGACACATGCTGTAGCTTCGGTATAACGGACCAGTGTTCCCTAAGAGGGAGGGGGAGCAGGAGCCTTGCCCTCGCCTCCGCTCCCCCACAACATGCATGATCATAAGCTTCATCTGCATTTTGCAAGCTCCTTGAAGGATGCAGGCCTCCCTCAGAACCCTGGGAGGTGAGGTTAGACCCTGAAGTTTATCAGGGCTTCAGTGTGGCTCCAAGAGGTCAGTGGGTTGGTGGGGTTGGTTGAATGGCCAAGGAAGGACATGTGCAAACATTGATGTGTTCAGCTAGCCAGATGGGTTCTATGTAGGATTTCTTTCTTCCTTTTTTAGCCACATAACGACGTGCACCGGTTGTACTGGGAAAAATGAAGAAGTGGTACCTTCTTAGATCTTTGGGACACATCTGTGGCGAAGATTTGTCCGCGTAAAACCTACCCATTGAGGACAAGGAAGGGATTGTTTTCCGCTCCTCACAGTAACTCCCACGCCATCCACATCGACTCCTTTTCTCACTCAGCTCCTGAAGGCATTTTGGGGATCGTCTCCATCAGCAGTTGTGCTTTCAGGAGCCTCTCAGTGGTTTTTATGCCTCTGGTGTTATGTGCAGTGTTTTTGATGACACTTGTATTCATCGTTCAGAAACTAGTATAGATGGCAGATTTCCTACCGTCTTCCTCTGCCACAAACCAGCCTGCCGGGAGGTTCTTACTGCTCAGAAAGCTTCCACCCCGCGGCCCGGCCTCCCTTCCACTCACCCCTCCTTTACACTTCACAGCTCTTCAGTTGCTGTCCAAAAGCACCTGAGCCATGCCTGACACGAAGCAGAAAGCTCATCTGTGAGCCGGTTTTGCTGGTGATGTGGAAATTACAAACTCCAGGGGCTTTTCAATGCCACTTGCTTTCAGAAACAGGGAATTTCTATTGTCTCTAAGGCCTTGAATTGATTTTTTTCCTCATAAAATAGTCTGATAAGCTAATTTTTAAAAAGAAATGCCATTAAATGTGTTGCATTGTGGTTTAAAATTACTAATGAGTTCTGGGGGAAAAATATTTGATTTTGAGTCTTATATGTTTTTTAAAGTTAGATGTGAATGGGCACAGAGTACGAATATTTTTGTTTCTTTAGGCAGGACGCGTGGAAGGGTTGAGGGTGGGGATGGGAGAAGTATTTTGCAGAGCTATCAATGTCCAAATAATTTTTTAAAAAATAATAAAGGTATTTAAGCAGTGAGTCTGTCCTATTTCTAAATCAAAACCGTTTTGTTAGAAGATGCCATTCCTCTCTCTGGCCCTGTGGCTTTGGAGGTTTCTGGGCTGTGACCAGCTGCGGCTGCCTGTCTCTGATCAGTGTTGTGCCCTTGCTCCCTCCTCCCCCGGGGGTCAGACGCTCAGCACTCCTATTGGAGCTCTGTTCTGTTCATTTCTATATGCTTTCTTGCATGTGTGCAGGACTTATACTTTTATTTAACATAGAAAATAGGCAAACAGTGTCCCATCATCTGCTCCGCAGCCTGGTGCTGGCACCGGCAGTGTGGATGGGGAATGCTGTGGCCCACCTCCCTGGTGCTGCTCCTCAGAGGAAATGCCCAGAGTGCCTGGGCTCCAAAAGGCTGCCCCAGCAAGTGTCCGGAAATCAGATGTAGGTGGCAAGCTCTGGCCCTTGATTTCTCTGCACCCTGTGGCCTGGGGCCTAACGCAGCCTATTACACTTGACTGTGACTTTGACAAACCATGCTGACTCATGGCAAAACACCTTGGCCTCCTGTTCCAGCGTAGGTTTCGGGTACCACTTCCTTAGGCAGCATCAAGGAATATGGCTGGAAACACCATTTGAGTTTTTGAGGAAATGTTTATAGTGTTAAAAAGGTTTAAATTTTAAGCACGGTGAAATCCTAAGAGAATTTACATTAATATCAGGGAAAAGTTCCCCTGTGTGTTTAAAGTACCATCTGACCTCATGTTGTTTGGACAATAATAATAAATTTTCTCCCAAGGTGTTGTGTCAGGAAAGGGATAGACTTCACGATGCTGGACTCTTGGTTGAAGACACCATTTATTGGTGGTTTTAGAGTGTAAAAACCATGGGGTCCCTGAGTTCTCCTGGACCTGCCTCTAAGTTCTAACATGACTTGTGCATCATCAGCTAAAGTCTGCACCCAAATTTGGGAAGTGGAGGGAACCACCACCCCTTGGATCAGTTCTTGACGATTCAGTGCTTTTCTTAAAAGCACTTTATAAACTATAAAAATGCTCCACGTACATAAAATGTAGTCGTTGCTCAATAATAATGCTATAAAATACTTACCGAGGCTTGCTGCATGCAGTGTGCTGCTCTAGGTATTGGGGATGATGCAGAAATAAGCCATGCTCCCTGCCTTCCTATAGTCTGAAATAGAATGGAAATTGGCATTTTCTGATCCCCAAAGCTACACCCCGCTTTCATATCTCAGTTCTTAGATCCCCAATTTTTAACCTTTGGCTTGCTTTGCTTTTAAGCTATCTAGAGGAACAGTAGAAAATGTGTAGAGTATGTTAGTTGTGAAACCAATGCAAGACAGGACAAAGGGAGAATGATAAATATCAGTGCTGCCCCGACGGTTCGAGCTGCGCCAGAGGAAGGCATTCGAGTTGCTCATCATGAAACAGACAGCTGGCTTTGACACAGAAAAAGTGCCTGGAAATTGTATTGCAACTGAGCAGTTTTTCCTCCAGATTTTCCCTCCAAAACATCTAAAGATTGAAGCTTCCTGTTTGTGCACAGCAGGAAAAACATGTAAGGCTTTTCATTTGCAGGGAAGCATATGCTGAAGTTCAGGTTTATTTTTCCTTCTGATTGTTGGGCTCACCTCATCACTCACTGCATTAATCACTGTTTCTCCGAATAATTGCTCAGTAGCCTCCACCCTCCACACCTTCTCTAACTGCCACTGACTGGAATGGAGCTTCTCAAACTCTGCTGCACATTGGAGTCACTTGGGAATTTATTTAAACTTCTTAAGTTTGGCAGCTCCCATACCAGTTCTATCTCCACCTCCCGAGTGCCTTAAAGCTCCCAGGTGATAGCAGTGTGCAGGGACCTTGGAGTGATTAGGGAAGCCTCCCCCACTGTGTGAGAAAGGTCTTCAGGCTTGCAATGTTGGTTCACTGAGTTGGTTCCCACAGGGTAGAGGCAATGCAGGTTTTTAGTCGCGTGACATCAAAACAGCAAAACGCCAGTCTGGTATTCTTGGTTAGTGTGCAGATGGAGCCAGTAAAAACTCACCCCATCCGGAACTTCAAGCCCTTGGAAAACAAGGGACAATGCTGTCCTTTCACATGTCAGCGCCTGTGTTCACCAGGACTTTTATTTGGCAAATACTTGTGAGCACTTACCGTGTGCTGGGGTTACAAATGTGCGCACCAGATAAGAGATCCCAAGAACGGCCTGTGTCCTCGCTGGGGTGGGCCTGGGAGTAATAATAGCATAACGAATGCATGCAGTGTTAGATGCGGTGTTAAGTGGTAAGCACTGCGGGAAAAGAAAAGCAGAGCCAGGGGTTTGAGTTCCAGATTGTGCCAGGCTCCAGGTTGCAATTGTTAAAAAGGTGGTCACGCTGAGCCTCATGGAGCAGGTGACATTTGAGCAAAGACCTGGAGGTAGTGGAGTGAGCCAGCTGTGCTGGAGAGAGAGCAAGGAGGTGAACAGCAGGAAGTGAGCGTAAAGGCGACAACATTGGGGGGCGGGGTATGGGGGTGAGAGAGAGTCAGACCCTCAGGGACCCTGTGGTCCTTGTCATCATAAGGACTTTGGCTTTAACTCAGAAAGAGATGAGTCATTGGAGGATGTGAGCAGAGGAGGGACATCATATCATCATTTTAGCTTTCTAAGGGACCTGAAAGGGATCAAGCAAGCAGGAAGACCAGTGAGGAGGCCGCTGCAGAACCCAAGGAGAGGCAGTGTAGTAAGAGAAGAGAGGGGTGGTGTGTCTACATGTTTTGAAGGTAGAGCCGGAATGATCTGCTTGCAGCCTGGCTGTTTTGGCTCAGTGGTTGGAGTGTCAGCCCAAGGACTGAAGGATTCCGGGTTTGATTGTGGCCAAGGGCACGTACCTGGGTTGCAGGCTCCATCCCCGGCCCTGGATGGGGCGCATGCGGGAGGCAACCAATCGATGTGCCTCTCTCACATCCATGTTTCTCTCTCTCTCTCTCTCTCCCACTCCCCCCTCCCCCCCGAAAAGCAATGGAAAATATCTTCAGGTGAGGATTAAAAAAAAAGGCTCTGCTGGCAGACTGGATGTGAGGTGTAACAGCACAACATTCTGGGCGGTTCTAACCAAGGCTTTGGCCTCAGCGTCTACAACAATGGAGTGGCTGCTGTGTTCGTTAAGGTTACTATCTCATTTTAATTTATGGAGGTGACTAAGCGAAGACACGGATGGCCAATGCCACTGCAAGCAGCTTTTTGTATTTACCAGGGAAGGGGCATGCCATGCCATGCAGGACCACAGGGGGGCACCAGGTTTTGGCCAGGAGGCAAAAGGAGCACAGGGAAAACAGAGGCCAGTCCTTGGGATTTCAGGGAGAAAGGCAGCACAGGGCAGGGCAATCAGTTCAGGATTGGCTGGTTTAAATAATTCCAGTGGGCCTTGGAGCATGAGGCTGTCCCTAATTTTCTGGTACCTGGGCAGGGAAAACATTGATTTAGTATGTAAGAGTTTGATTAGGAGGTGGCAGGGGTATGGACTCAGGACTAGTTGTTTGCATGTGAAAGGCATACTGGAGAGTGGGGAGCTATGCTCTAAGAGTTTGTGAGACCTGGGAGGGGTGGTGTCTCCCCATTCAGCAAGGCCACAAATGCCAGAGTATCAAGAATACAGAAAAGAAGAAAATGCAGTTAAAATAATTGGCCTTATGATGAATGGACGCTGAATAGACAAGAAATCTAAGAAAACACAGAATAGTTGCATATACCAGCTGCTAGAAAGATACAACCTTAACCCCCCAGTGGCTTGACCTATAGAAGTTTTTTGCTCATTCACATCAAGTCTGGTTGGCACAACGTGGAGTGGGGACTCTGCTCCATTAGTCATCAGGGACTTACTCGGCTGACGAAGTTGTGTCATCTTTAACCTATGCCTTCCCAGATCACCCTGGGCAGGTGGAGGGTCAAGTGGTGGGTTTCTGAAGGCCAGGTGTGGAAGGGGTGACATTGCTTCTGCCCATTCACATGTCCACACCCAACTGC